TTCATGTAAAAACACTTAGCGCTGCTAGATCTCGATCTCGATATAATAACATAGTACTAAGATATGAATGTAATATTTAGAAAAATAATACATTAATAAGGAAAATTAGAATCATATTAAAAAATATGTATATTTAAAAAAATAAGAAAAATAAGAAACATTCCCAATGAGAGTTAAAGTATCTAGTGTGTGTATATATGCGATTGAGTTATACGAGTTGTGTAAATTATGAACGTTGTGAATACTATTAAGTTTAAGTCTGAGAAAAGTAAATTTAGATTTGTAAACATACGTTATAAAAGAGAAATAAATATTAAAATTTATTCTTATTCAGTGTAAAGTTATATATATAAGATTAAATTTATTATTACTTTTATTATTACATTTAAATTATAATTACATTTATATTATTTATATTTTTTATTATTTATATTTATTAATTACTATTCTAATTTTAAATTGTTTTCGTAGTTTTCCTTACTTCGATCTAGCAGCGCCAAGTATTTTTACATGAAAAATTTTTCTATTTAAATTAAATTTTTTCATTTTATACGGTTAACTCTTTAATTTTTGCGATAACACTTAAATTGAGCAAGGTAACGCAATTTTGTGGTAACGTTTTGTATATTATTTTGAAAGAGAATTAAATACCCACTACTTTAATTCGAAGAGAAAATGTCTTTATGTGTGAATGAATTGTGATATAATAATTTCATTTAAGAGAAATTTAAACCATTTGGATTGGAATAGAAAGCTCCTTCAATCAGATATACGTACACTTAGGTTTCATTGTATAAAAAAAAAATTAAAGATAGTTATTATTTGGATTAAGTAAATAAAGAAATGGGATTTGGCACCAGTTCTTGATGTATCAAACCCTTTATAGGAATGATACATATCATTAAAGTCAATATTATTTATTTAATTTGGTATCCGAATTATATGGAATTTAACTTGGCGCCAATTTTGTTGATGTCAAATCTTTTATATGAATGATACATATCATTAGAGTTAAGTAATATGTACAAAGGACCGGTTTCACCAACCCGATTAAGCCGAATCAACCATAAGTGTCAACCATAAGTGGTCAATTCCACTAAACAGCAAACGCGATTAGTCAGTTCCATGGCGAATTAGGTAATTGGCGTTGATGAAACCGGCCCAAATAATTTTTACGAAAAGCACGCACGCTTAGCGCTTTTTTTATCTTTTTTTAAAAAGGTAAGCTTGTATAAATAACAAGAAACAGTACCATTTGTGTTTTACCTTTTAATTTGATAGATAAAATTTAATATTATATACAAAGGATCGGTTTTACCATCATATTTACATCATATATCATATATAGATAAATTAGTTATAACCGCGTGTGATTCATTATTGTTTCTTCAAGCGCAATTTCAAAAAGAGAAAAAAAAATTTTTGTTTAACACTTATTTACTCACGTAGTATATCCAGGAAATCTTTTCCTTATAAGTTCACTGAGTGTATGAACGCTATTTTATATATATATTATATTTAGTGTAAATTGTTTCGTAATTAAAAAACATTTTTTTACATTTATATCTTTCTCTCAAGAATGTTAATTTGGGTAGTAATTAGTTAATTAATTAAAAGTAAGAAAGTTAACAACTTTTACTTGGTTAATTTTAATGAGTTAATTTTTAACTTCGACTTATTCCCAAGTTATTTTATAAAATACATTAACTTTAATTTATTAACTTTTAATTTATTAACTTTTTTCTAATTATAAATTAAAGTTTTTTCTTTGACCATCAATAAGTATTTGTTTTAATCTGAAACATTAGACAATTAGTAAAAGTTCAATGATCGTAATGAGCATTCTGCTAGTGTAAGGCTAGTTGTATTTCTCTCGAGTTTTAAAAAAGGGACAAGAAGAAAAGTTTATTTAAAAGCGTTATTTCGTTAACTAAATTTTTATTTAAATAATGTACCGCAATACAGATTTTTGTAACAATTATTAACATCTACTTAAAATAATATATACTTCTTTAGCATTTTATATTTAATTTATTCAATTCATATTGTTATTCATTTTATTTAGAGTAATTTACTTTTTAATTAAAAAAAAATACATTTTAATTTAATATAAATAATTTTTAATTATTAACTTTTAACTTCAATTAATTTAATTTTAATTCAACTTTTACCTTAGTTTTTGTTCGTGCAACTTTTAACAAACTTAAGTTAATAGGCCACTAACTTTAAATTTAATTTAAACTTAACTTTAATTTAAAAATTAAACTTACCCGATTCTGAAAGGATGTATAGAATATTACTAATTTTTATTTAATTGTAAACGTCAATGTAACGTCAATTCGTTTTGTGCAAACTCTCAATCGTTATTTTTATACCTCATCGCGCATCATTCGTTCTGCGTCAATTCCTTGGACTTTGTTCTCGGAGGCAACCGCTGAAAAATATGCAATTGTCAGCCGCGATAACAAAATGTCTGTATTTTCATCGTAATGCCGGCAACTTTCTTTTTTTATGGTTTCTGAGTAAGAGAGAGCCCTCTTGAAAATCGTGAATGGTATTATATTTTTCGCACTGTACATCATATTGGCATGACGCGCTTCGTTTCTTTCTTTTCTTCTTATCGACATGATTTTATCATGTAAGGTTGCAGTAAATATTCACAACGTTCTTCTGACGGGTCTTGCGATCGGGATATATAAAAGTAAAATTTGAAAGAGAACTAGAGATGAGTAATGAGGTGGCTAAACAATAGGGAGGGGTGGGTGTGCGGGTACCCAAGATTTCTGGTTCGGGTCGGATCAGGATTTTTTTCGGGATCGGGTCGGGATTCGAATGTTTGTAATGTTCGGGGGTACTTCGAATTTAAAATCGGGTCGGGCAGTGATTATAGATGTAGACTTCTCCTTGTGGACTTTTAAATTTAATTAATTAATTATACTATAGTTTAAGTTAAAAATCTGATTGAAAAATCATGAAGAAGCATCACATTTATGCCGTTAAAAAGTTTCTAGATCTATGATCACTGCCTAATAAAATCCTGAAAAAATTCCCGATCCGAGGCTCGGGTACCCGCATATTCCTACCAAACAGCCCTGGCGGAAACATTTTCACGAAAAATTACATAGATTGAGAAAAACCAAAAAATCCTCCACCCTTTCCATATATGTCTTCTGACGGTATATTGCAAGTTTTTCCAGAACATTTTTTCGTATCTTGTATCATGAGACAAACAGCGCCATTCTACGGTCCACAAATATCTACAAAAAATTAAGGATTTCTAAGGCAAACATACCTCACTTTACGTTCCACTATGAATATCTATGAATATCTAAGAATTTTTTAAATCTTGTCTCAATCTCTATATACTTTTTCTATACTAATTCGTAAAAATGTTTTTCGCCAGGAAGGATAAAGACAGTAATTGTTACGTGTTTTATGAACTATTCAGACTGATCTTTAGATTAGATAATCGATGTATCGTATTTAGTAAATTAGTGTATTAGCGGTTGAAGCAAACTCAGTCAAGTTACAATCTCCGCCATACTGAATTATGATGTATGTAAGCGAAAAATGACACGTTAATTTTTATTACGTGTCATTTGTAAATAAAGACAATTTGGATAAAACGAAATAATAAGATTGCTTTAAACTTTAAAACATTTGTAGAAATGGACGAAAACTATGCTTATTATCAACATATCATTTCTCGCTTCTAACGAATCATGATTCAATATGGTAACTACTCAGGAGCCTTAAGGCCCCTGAGTAGTCGCGGCGGCCATGTTGAAATCGTGACGTCTGAAGCGAGGAATGACACGTTAATTTATGCACGATGCTATTTGTAAACAGACAATTTGGATGAAATTAAACGATGGGTTCGCTTTAAAATACTTTTAAAAATTGATGAAAACTGTCCTTTTTTCCCTTGATAGTCAGTAAATGGTCGTAAAAGACTCGTAAAGTGAGCCTATATTCTGGCAGAAACACATGGTTTCATAACTGTTGAAACGAGTTAAATATACACTTTTACGTATAAAATTCCAAGATAACTTTAGTTGTCATCGAAAATTACGACTTTGAGAAGTACGAAACAAGTCACATTTTCACAATTAAGCAAATAATAACGAAATGGCATTGTGCACAAATTTCGTCGTCAAAACTGGTCAAAATGTCACTTTTCCGCGCCTATAAGTTCGGCCATTTATCGTGGTGTGGCGCTGTAACACACATACAAGCACGATCCCATGTCCGTGTGCTCGTAGGCGAGCACACGGACATGGGTTCGTGCTTAAGTGTGTGGCTACCGATTTTGCCAGACCGCCGTCTGATACTGTGTCGCCACCGTCAACGCAGAGTTCTTGGCTGAGTAGTCAGGAGCCTTAAATATATACATTTTAATATTTTAATACACATGGTTGCTTGTTCTATTAGCCTTTATCCTTTTTTATTTGATAAAATGGATGTTAAATGATATTTATAGTCGTGGTTTCGTGGCGTTCGAAGCAGCAAGTTTCGACACGTTTACGGCGTGCCAGCCAAGAGGGAGAAATGTTATGACAATATTAAGATCACAAAAAACGCCCACGATTCGCAATTCTGCGCCGTAAATCCCAAGTTCCTGGCCATCGTGACGGAGGTTGCGGGCGGTGGAGCGTTCCTTGTGTTATCATTGGATCGCGTGAGTAGTCTGTGCCTTATCGATTTATCGATTCTAGTCGTACGCAAGAACAAAAGTATTAGCTAACATCGCATTATTGGAGTCTGAAAAAATAAATTCAGATTTTTTTGTTTCTTACGGAGATTGTTTCATATAATGACATTCTAAATATCTTACAATTAATTACAGATTTTCATATAACATATTTATGTCGCGTTATGCCAATACATAGTAATACATCAATCATTTGTCACACTTGTTGCAGACCGGGCGACTTGACTTCAATGCCAGCCGAGTAACTGGACATACTGGTCCCGTTTTGGACATTAAATGGAATCCATTCAATGACAACATCATTGCGTCCTGTTCCGATGATTGCACTGTAAGAAAAGTTTTGCATACAGGAAGCATTTCCACTTGCATCACCTCCAAAGCTCACGGGAGATTCCTGTAGAAATGTAAACTGCACGGAATGTAGATTAGAAATTTTAAAATTTACTCCAACTACTACATATACATATATATATATATATATATATATATATACATACAGAGTGTACCAAAAAGGTCGGGACACCTAAATATCTCGGGAAATATAAGTTTTACAGAAAAGTGTTTCAGACAAAAGTTATATGGTTTAAAAATATCTATTTACTGATCCTATCAGTTTGACCTTGGGTTGCGTAGACAAGTATCGCCGGCACTAGCATTACTCAAAATATGTAATACCACGCATTATGTTTTTGTTTGTGCGTTAACTGAAGGTCAAGATTCACGGACCACCGACCGATCTAGCCTTGACTGGCCAGTCTCCAAAATTAAATATTTTGGGTAATGCTAATGCCGGCGATACTGTAACTTTGAAGCATTATAACTTGAAAAGTACTTCATAAAAAAATATTTCATTATAGCGTTTTGGAAAGCTCTCGACATCAGCTATTAGATTCTTGAATCAAAAATAGGGTGTTCCATTTAAGAAAATCAATGTAACCTTAACCTGACCTTGGCTACGCAACCCAAGGTCAAACTGATAGGATCAATAAATAGATATTTTTAAACCATATAACTTTTGTCTGAAACACTTTTCTGTAAAACTTATATTTCTAGAGATATTAGGTGTCCCTACCTTTTTGGGACACCCTGTATATACAGGGTGTCCCATTTTAAATGACAACCTCAAATTTCTCTTGAATAGTGCATTTTAGAGAAAAAGGTTTCAAACAAATGTTTTGTGACTTCGAGGGGGACATAAAATGGTATCATTGGTTTGACCTTGGGTGGCGTT